TCCTAACCATACCCAACAAGCACATCCGAAGTTGTTGGCGATGTCCATTTTCCTCTAGGAGTTCATGGAGACGTAACCCTAACCCTAAGTTGGAATTTTCCTCACTGGGATTTTCCCATTATTATTTTTTTATCAGTAAAGCATACTAGGGCTAGCCAGAAAGGTCGTGCACTCCTAACCCTAGACCCAAGCCTCTCCGAGTTTGTTGGCGATGTCCATTTTCCTCTAGGAGTTCATGGAGACGTAACCCTAACCCCAACTGGAATTTTCCTGCAATGGGATTTTCCCATGTATTTTACCAGGAAACATAGATAGGGCAGCCTAGAAAGGTCAGTGCACTCCTAACCATACCCAAGCACTCCGAGTTTGTTGGCGATGTCCATTTTGCTCTAGGAGTTATCGGTGACGTAACCCTAACCCTAACTGGAATTTTCCTGCAATGGGATTTTCCCATGTATTTTACCAGGAAACATAGATAGGGCAGCCTTGAAAGGTCAGTGCACTCCTAACCATACCCAAGCACTCCGAGTTTGTTGGCGATGTCCATTTTCCTCTAGGAGTTCAAGGAGACGTAACCCTAACCCTAACTGGAATTTTCCTCCAATGGGATTTTCCCATGTATTTTACCAGGAAACATAGATAGGGCAGCCTAGAAAGGTCAGTGCACTCTAACCATACCCAATCACTCCGATTTGTTGGAGTGTCCATTTTCCTAGGAGTTCATGAGACGTAACCCTAACCTAACTGGAATTTTTCTGCAATGGGATTTCCCCATGTATTTTACCAGGAAACATAGAAAGGGCAGCCTAGAAAGGTCAGTGCACTCCTAACCATACCCAAGCACTCCTAGTTGGTTGGCGATGTCCATTTTGCTCTAGGAGTTAGCGGTGACGTAACCCTAACCCTAACTGGAATTTTCCTGCAATGGGATTTTCCCATGTATTTTACCAGGAAACATAGATAGGGCAGCCTTGAAAGGTCAGTGCACTCCTAACCATACCCAAGCACTCCGGGTTTGTTGGCGATGTCCATTTTCCTCTAGGTGTTCGTGGAGACGTAACCCTAACCCTAACTGGAATTTTCCTCCAATGGGATTTTCCCATGTATTTTACCAGGAAAAATAGATAGGGCAGCCTAGAAAGGTCAGTGCTCTCCTAACCATACCCAAGCACTCCTAGTTTGTTGGCGATGTCCATTTTCCTCTAGGAGTTCATGGAGACGTAACCCTAACCCTAACTGGAATTTTCCTGCAAAGGGATTTTCCCATGTATTTTACCAGGAAACATAGATAGGGCAGCCTAGAAAGGTCAAGGCTATCCTAACCATACCCAAGCACTCCGAGTTTGTTGGCGATGTCCATTTTCCTCTAAGAGTTCATGGAGACGTAACCCTAATCCTAACTGGAATTTTCCTCCAATGGGATTTTCCCATGTATTTTACCAGGAAACATACATAGGGCAGCCTTGAAAGGTCAGTGCACTCCTAACCATACCCAAGCACTCCTAGTTTGTTGGCGATGTCCATTTTGCTATAGGAGTTCATGGAGACGTAACCCTAACCCTAACTGGAATTTTCCTCCAATGGGATTTTCCCATGTATTTTACCAGGAAACATAGATAGGGCAGCCTAGAAAAGTCAGTGCCTCCCTAACCATACCCAAGCACTCTGAGTTTGTTGGCGATGTCCATTTTGCTCTAGGAGTTCATGGTGACGTAACCCTAACCCTAACTGGAATTTTCCTGCAATGGGATTTTCCCATGTATTTTACCAGGAAACATAGATAGGGCCGCCTAGGAAGGTCAAGGCTATCCTAACCATACCCAAGCACTCCGAGTTTGTTGGCGATGTCCATTTTCCTCTAAGAGTTCATGGAGACGTAACCCTAATCCTAACTGGAATTTTCCTCCAATGAGATTTTCCCATGTATTTTACCAGGAAACATACATAGCGCAGCCTAGAAAGGTCAATGCTCTCCTAACCATACCCAAGCACTCCTAGTTTGTTGGCGATGTCCATTTTGCTATAGGAGTTCATGGAGACGTAACCCTAACCATAACTGGAATTTTCCTCCAATGGGATTTTCCCATGTATTTTACCAGGAAACATAGATAAGACAGCCTAGAAAAGTCAGTGCCCTCCTAACCATACCCAAGCACTCCGAGTTCGTTGGCGATGTCCATTTTGCTCTAGGAGTTCAGGGTGACGTAACCCTAACCCTATGTGGAATTTTCCTGCAATGGGATTTTCTCATGTATTTTACCAGGAAAAATAGATAGTGCAGCCTAGAACGGTCAGTGCTCTCCTGACCATACCAAGCACTCCGAGTTCGTTGGCGATGTCGATTTTGCTCTAGGAGTTCATGGAGACGTAACCCTAACCCTATGTGGAATTTCTCCAGGGGATTTTCCCATGTATTTACCAGGAAACATACATAGGCAGCCTAGAAAGGTCAGATGCACTCCTAACCATACCCAAAGCACTTCCGAGTTTGTTCGCGATGTCCATTTTGCTCTAGGAGTTCATGGTGATGTAACCCTAACGCTAAGTGGAATTTTCCTCCACTGGGATTTTCCTCTGTATTTTACCAGGAAACATAGATAGGACAGCCTAGAAAAGTCACTGCCCTCCTAACCATACCCAAGCACTCGAGTTCATTGGCGATGTCCATTTTGCTCTAGGAGTTCATGGTGATGTAACCCTAACTCTAAGTTGGATTTTCCTCCAATGGGATTTTCCCATGTATTTTACCAGGAAACATAGATAGGGCAGCCTAGACAGGTCAGTGCCCTCCTAACCATACCCCAGCACTCCGAGTTTGTTGGCGATGTCCATTTTGCTCTAGGAGTTCACGGGGACGTAACCCTAACCCTAAGTGGAATTTTCCTGCAATGGGACTTTCCCATGTATTTTACCAGGAAAACATGACATAGCGCAGCCTAGAAAGGTCAATGTCTCCTAAACCATAACAAAGCACTCCTAGTTGTTGGCGATTCCATTTTGCTCTAGGAGTTCACGATGGAAGGAACACTAACCTTTTTTAAATAAAAAAAGTGGAATTATCCTCCAATGGGATTCTCCCATGTATTTACCTAGGGAAAAACATAGATACGGCAGCCTAGAAAGTCAGTGCCCTCCTAACAATACCCCAAGCACTTCTGAGTTGTTGGTCATTTTTGTTTCTTCTGCCATCAAAGTGCTTCATAAAACGCTAACGCTGTAATCTACAAACCACGTTAACGCAATTGAAATCGCTCTTAAAATTACACTCGAGGGTTGCTCAGAAATCAAAAGCTCAGCCAAAAAGATGCGTTCTTACCTTGTCCCTAAATGCCCGGAAAGCGGGGCCCATGAGCATCACCCAAAGATTCTGTCGCACGGCCTGCCAGGTGTGCCAGAAAAGGCCCTTTCCGGTAGACTGCCAAGCTCTGCTAGTGGGAAGGCCCTTGGAGAGGTCCCCCCCGCTATTTCCCACCAAAACTGCAATATTGAGAGGAGCGGTGGCGATCGCAACCTCCCACCCTGTTTTCCGCTTCCTCTTGGGGTTTTTACTGTGCTCCCAACCTTACTCCATTTCCATCCCTGTCTCTTTAAAAGGAAAAACCTTAACCTCACTGAAAGTGGCAAAAAAAAGGGTGGGGGGAATCCTCAAGGACAACTTACCTGTTTTCTCCCAGTTCCTTCTTAACAGCCACAGCAAGGGGTGGGGGGTCACCCATCCGGCAGAGGCTCTAGGCTGGAAATCCAGGGAGCGTGACCTCCTTTCTCCACTGCCTTTTCCAAAAAGGCTGAAGGTTTCATCCGGCAGGTGTCCCCACCCTTCCTCCTGGCCCTACATCAGTCGATGCAGCCGTGACTGGGAAGTTAGCAAAATTGCAAGCCGGACTCTGCAAAGACCCGGGTCTCCTGCTGCCCCCAGAGAGCCTGCTTTTCCTTTCTCTTACCTCTGGGCGGTGGGTGAGCTGTTTCGGCAACCTGGAGAGAAGAAGAAGCTTCCTATCCGTCCTAACCGCTGACGTGTTTTGGAGGAGCTCTCAAAGTTGATGGACGGCAAACAATAATACAAGCCACATTAGTTTGCAACTTCTCACGTCTCATCCCTTTTATCCATCCTTTAAATGATAAACCTAGAAGGGAACGATAGGTTATACACATTTTCAAAATAAACTGCATTTATTTTTTATACTTTTGAAGCAGATTTCTTCTTCCGCGCCTGCGTTGCAGCAAACAGGCCTCCCCTGGCCCTATTAATAAGGTGTTAATACCGTTAATAAAATAAATAACTTCCCCTCTCCCAGGAAACAGGCGGTGGGAGCATAAGCATAAGCATAACCCAAGCAAAGCAACAGAATAAGAGACGTGGAGTTCCAACTAGAATTTAACAGAATATCTCTCTGCAGCAAAAAAAATGGAAAGCATCTCCTAAATTCTGCATGTAATCTTTATTTTATTTTGCATTTATAAAATTTTCAGTTTTTTTTATAACAGCATTTTAAGCATTTTCCTGCTCAACAAGATAAAGTTCTCTGTTGGAAGAAGGGACGATCCCCATCAGCACCCCAGAGGGGGCTGATGGGACTTGTAATCCAGTAGAAGCCCAAGTCGCCCTCTGTTCTCTCAATCCTAAAAAGCACAGCTGCAAAAATGATGGGGATATTTTAAAAACTGGGCCTTTGCAACGGGAGAGGGGGGTGGTGGGAGTCAGCCTCTCAGGCACAAGGCTGCCTGACGAATGGGATTTGTAGTCCAAAGGGTCCCCGGGCGGGGCGAAGGCTCGAGGAGGAGGCATTACGCAGTCTAATTATCTTCACCTGTGCGGGCCGAGGCACACCTGACCGTGATGAGCAGCTTCCCGCGCGGCGGCCGTCTCCATGGCAACCGCTGCGCGAGCTGGGAAAATAGCCCAGCGTTCGCACCTGTGTTTGGGCGGGAAAGAGCGCGCGCCTTTCCCGCCCAGCGCCCTCGGACTGCCTCGCGGGCTCCTGTCTGCACACCCATCTCGCTCATGATTGGCTGCTCCGGAAACGCTTCCCTCGGATTGGCTGAGCGGCCTCTCCCCTCTCCGAGAGGCGGGGGCATTTAAAAAGTCGGCGGGCTCCTCAGGCTGAGTGCCAAAAGAAAAACGAGCGCGCTGCAGAGGCAGCCGACGCCGCTACCGCGTCTCTTTTTCCTCAGAAGAGAGGCGATAGCGGCGTCTCCTGCCTCTGCAGCGCGCTCGCTTTTCTTTTGGCACTCAGCTTGAGAAGCCCGCCGACTTTTTCCTTTTTGCTGCGGGGCGCCGGAGGGCAAAAATGTCTCTCTCCGGCTCTCCCGCGGCTCAAGTCCTCGAGCTCGAGGTCGGGCAGGGCCTTTTGAGCTTTGAGGTAATTCTGGCGGAGAATTTTTTTTATCTTTTAGGGATGCGGAGGGGGGCGCGAGTTCGTTAGCTAATTAATAGCTTATTGTTCTCGAGGAGTCAGGATAGCACCTGCGGTAATTTTAACCACGGCGTGTATTCTTACGAGTAAAACGCCAGTGGTAGCTCAACGGTGTTTTATTTAAAGGACTCCAAAACCCATAGGTCGCTAAAGATACTTATCTCAGTCTTTCGCTCGGGGAATAACGCAAACCGCTGTGTCTTAGAATAATACTAGTCAAGTTCTTAAAATTTTGGTCGAACGCTAATCTCAGCCATGTCCTTTTTAAAGGGACCAAACCAGCAAAGGTTAAATTTAACTTTAAAGGTAAAATTATCTTAAGAACTGACTTCTCTCTTAGGAATAAAGTGAATTCTTGGGGTAATTTTAGCCAAGAATTCAAGTTCTTAGAATAAAATTTTAATGGAACCTGAGGTAATCTCAGCCATGTCTTTTTTAAAGGGACCAAACCAGCAAAGGTGAATAGGAGTTAAAATTAGCTTGAAAGGTAAAATTATCTCAGGAACTGACTTTCCTCTTAGGAATAAAGTGAATTTTTGGGGTAATTTTAGCCAAGAATTCAAGTTCTTAGAATAAAATTTTGATGGAACCTGAGCTAATCTCAGCCATGTCCTTTTTAAAGGGACCAAACCAGCAAAGGTGAATAGGAGTTAAAATTAGCTTTAAAGGTAAAATTATCTCAGGAACTGACCTTCCTAGGAATAAAGTGAATTCTTGGGGTAATTTTAGCCAAGAATTCAAGTTCTTAAAATAAAATTTTGATGGAACTGAGCTAATCTCAGCCATGTCCTTTTTAAAGGGACCAAACCAGCAAAGGTGAATAGGAGTTAAAATTAGCTTTAAAGGTAAAATTATCTCTTGAACTGACTTTCTTCTTAGGAATAAAGTGAATTCCTGGGGTAATTTTAGCCAAGAATTTAAGTTCTTAGAATAAAATTTTGGTGGAACCTGAGGTAATCTCAGCCATGTCCTTTTTAAAGGGACCAAACCAGCAAAGGTGAATAGGAGTTAAAATTAGCTTTAAAGGTAAAATTATCTCAGGAATTGATTTTGCTCTCAGGAATAAAGTAATTTTTTTGGAATCTGAGGTAATTTTAATCAACGCACAAGCCCCTAAAAGTAAAATATATAATAATAATAATAATAAAGTTGGAAGGGATCTTAGAGGTCATCTAGTCCAATCCTCTGCTCAGGCAGGAAACCCTATAGTTTAACAAGTTAACAAGACAAGAAACTAGTGCAGGGGTAGGCAGCCTTGGCTCTTTTATAACTTGTGAACTTCAACTCCCAGAATTCCTGATCCAGCATGGCTCAGCTTGGAAACCTCCCTTTCCCCTCAACATGGCTGGCTCAGGAATTTTGGGAATTGAAGTCCAAGGGTCTTCAAATGTGGCCCTTTTATGACTTCTGTATTTCAATTCCCAGAATTCCTCAGCCAGCGTGCCTGGCTGAGGAATTCTGGGAGCTGAAGCCCTGGGGTCTATTTGTGGACTTCAACTCCCAGAATTCCTCAGCTAGCGTGCCAATGCACAAGTCATAAAAGGGTCAAGTTTGAAGACCTCTGCCTTAAAAGAAGCAAAACATGTAGAAAACAGGCTAGTGACTTAAGGGAGCAATGTTACAAGTTATTGTATCTTGCCTTCTTTCACAAGTAGGATAAAACACATAAAACCCCTTTGACTGATTGCTTTTCTACCCTCTGAACATCCATGGTCATTTGGTGATGTTGATTTTTTTTTTAATTTCAAAGGCATGAATCCATGTAGACGAAGAAGAAGACATCAACAGTAAGACAGATGGTTTAATTCACTCTCCAGTGTATTATGAAAGTGAGGAAGCCTGGCAGATACTGTTTGCAACATTTTAACTACTGCAAAAATCTTTGGGTCTTGCTAAAGTTTATCTTAAGACTTGCTTTAGCAAAGTTTTTTTTTAAACATTACAAAGTATCAAGGGTAAAAAGAGCAGTCATAAGTGTGACAAACATGCCTAAAAAGTAGCAAAAAAATTTCTGACCCAAGACAATTTTAGCTATTGGCTGTAGATCTTAAAATCAGACAGATACCAGCCTCCTCCAGTACCTGAGGACTCCCTCAGTGAGACTCAAGCCGGAAGGGAATCCTTTGGGATCACCTCCCTCCCACCTTCACACCCTTGGAAATAATGCCAATACTAGCCAGACTTCTTAGAATCAAAAGTAAACCTGGTGATGCATTTTAATATGAGGAATACCAATAAAGAAGAATATTTGTGGTTAACAGTTGAAATGAGGTGTCTTTGGTGCTCTCTGAGCTTGGCGGTTTTCTTGTAGACCAAGCATGTCCAAACTTGTGACGTCATGTGACGTCATGCAATGCATCGGGCTGGTTTTGCCCTTGCCGGCAATGGGGTGGGCGTGGCTTCCACGTGACCTGTCCGGTCCATGGGCCGGCAATTTGACACCCCTGTTGTAGTGCAGTTTGTTCCCAGTTTATGTTCTAGTGCAGTGGCGGCGAACCTATGGCACTCGGAGCCCTCTCTGTGGGCACATGTGCTGTTGCCCCAGCCTTGCCTCCCCCTGCGACCCCCTCCTCTCCAGCAGCTCCCCTGAAGGAGACTCGCCCTCGAGTGTGGCCCACACGGAACAGCGCAACCAAGGACATGGCAGCCAGGCAGCGTAGACAAGACTCTGCCCTCACACCCCATCATGCAGTTGATGCTGCAGGGCATGGGCAGAGGGCGTGGCTGCCATAGTGCTGCTGGGCTGCCTGGGCAATCTGCGGAGGGCCATGGAGGCGGTAAGTGGTCCTGTGGGCGGGGGGGTGGGGGGTGGGGATGGAGGGGTGGAGCGGGGTCGGGGCAAGTTTTTGGGCACTCGGTCTCTAAAAGGTTCGCCATCACTGTTCTAGTGGCTCCTTTCAGTGTTAGCGAAAATGGTCTTGGAGGTTGTTTGTTGCGCTATGTGTTGTTAGCTTCTTTGGCAGCTCCTTGATTAGGGTATTGTTTACTTCTTGATTGTTGGTCTGGAAATGTAGCCTTGGCAATGGTTCATAGAACCAAAAAGAAAACATTAATGGCCCTTTTTAATGTTAGGTTGGCCATTGATCTGTAAAAGATGTTATAGTTTTGTAGCTTTGCAGACTGAGCAAAGGAAGTGCACTCTTCTACCAAATATTCTTCGAAAGAAAGAGACAACGTTGCCGGGCACGACTGAGGAAGAAACAAAGGAGAAAGAAGAAAAAAGAAGAAAAAAAGAGCAAGAAAATGTCTCCAGCGCAAGCCCTCTTAGTCTTCAGCTGTGATGGCACCCTCTACGCTGAGAGGTATGTTTAGTTGAGTCTTATATTCTTTAAAGCTTTAGGACAGGGGTCTCCAAACCTGGCCCTTTTATGACGTGTGGACTTCAACTCCCAGAATTCCTCAGCCAGCGTGCTGAGAGTTGAAGTCCACAAGTCATAAAAGGGCCAGGTTTGGAGACCCCTGCTTTAGGATATAGAGGGAGGTGGATGGTCTTCCAGTAATTATGCCTAGGTAAGCACGGGTAACCCCTGTGTCTGGGGTAATAGTAACCACTGTGTATTGTGCATTCTTAGGAGTAAAACCCCAGTTCCAACTGAAGTAATGTTGACTTTCAAGGCACGAATCCAAAATGACCTGTAGACGAAGAAGAAGACATCAACAGTAAGACAGATGGTTTAATTCATTCTTCGGTGTATCATGAAATTGAGGAAGCCTGGCCAGTACTGTTTGGGCCTTGCTGAAATTTACCCTAAGGCAGTGGTGACGAACCTATGGCACGTGGGACAGAGGTGGCACTCTGAGCCCTCTCTATGGGCACGCGCGCCTTCGCCCCAGCCCCACTTCCCCCCGCGGCCCCCTCTTCTCCAGCAGACCCCCGGAGGAGAATCACCCCTGGGTGTGGCCCGTGCGCAGCAGCCCAGCCAAGGACATGGCAGCCGGGCAGTGGGGACCAGACTCCGCCCTCGCACCCTGTCGCATGCAGATGATGCTGTGGGGCGCAGGCAGAAGGCGTGGCTGCCATGGCACTGCAGGACCACCTGGGAGATCTGCGACGGGCCATGGAGGCGGTCGGTGGCCCTGCGGGATGGCAGAGCGGGATGGGGAGGCGGGCGGGCGAGAGCTGGGGCAGGGCGGCTTTTGGACACTCTAAAAGATCTAAAAGGTTCGCCATCACTGCCCTAAGGCGTGCTTTAGCAGTTTTTTAAAAAAATGGTCTTGG